CACCCCTCCACCCTTCTCATTCCCCTCCTTTGTTTTTAAAGGGTGTTGTTTGTATGCATTCTGGACATTTGAATTAAAACACAAAAGTATTGTGATCCTAAAAAGGATCGCCATAGATGTGGACAAATCATTAAAATTACAGAGCTATATGATCCATAATTGATTAGTCAAAATAACTTATTGATGAAATATACAAATATTTTATTGTAGCACCTATTTTTATATGCACATTTAGCATTCCTCGTTCCTTCACTATTTAGCCTATGATTTCACAGAGGTGTCGCACTGTATTGGGAGCTGCATTTCCAAAACTGAAGTGATATCAGGAAGGCATTTTAAATCATTAAAGATGTGGAGAACTTAATGACAAAAATCTTTAAAAGCCAATCCCACCCACCCGACTGGATCTGTATATTTGTTGTTTTTTTTTTTTTATAAAAGTTGATTGTATCCCAATGTATAAAAGAAAAAAATAGGGCAATTAATTGGGCCATTCGAGTGAGATTCGTGTGCAAGTTTTTGGTTTTATTAGAAAAGATTTAAAAGTATTTTCATTAGTGAACCAAAATGATATATTAATTTGACTACTGTAGTAGCCAAGTTTTGATTGTTTAACCAAACCCAATTGCATTTGTACAGATCCACTTGTACTGGCACTTCAGAAGACCAAATGATGGACTGTACAAGTCTCTTATACAATGTCTTTATCCCTGTGGGCAGCAAGCAATGATGATAATGGCAAACAGGATCTCTGTAAGATGGGGCTACTGTTGTTACAGTCTCATATGTATCCCAGCACATGTAATTTTTTAAATAGTTTCTGAATAAACACTTGATAACTATGTCAAATATGAGGGATGGAAGTAATGATTACTTAAGGTGCAAAAGATTTACCCATGTGTGATTGATGGAGTGTCCATTAACAATTTAGGAAACAGTAGCTAAACTGTATTCCTAATAGAAAATATCTTTCCCTTGATTACCAAAATTTAAAAATACACACACACATAATTTATGCCTTGGTTGATTCATGGAAGTATATTTTTCTGAATGCTTCACTTAATGTGTTTATTAATGATGTTTCAATTGTATACATTGTTTCCTTACTGAAGTATTCATCTAATACATGGAGCATGGTAAGTAATATATTACATATTCATTTTTCTCTCAGTATTATGTATTATGTCACATCAGTATTATTTATTCAATATACAATTTTCCATAGTTTTTATATTTAAAATTGTGTAAAACTACTTTCAACAATTATGATGGATACTTTATCTAAAGTTGATCTGTATTCTAAATGCTCAAAATGTTGATGGGTATGAGCTGTTCACCTTTAAGGTTTGCTGGTGAATTTAGATTAGAATTTAAGAATAAGAAATGTTTGAATTGATCATAGACTTAAAGGGCCACGTGCTTCTGTGCTATTGGTTGACGTCTCCATAACCTTGCCTGGAATGTGTACAATATCAAGGGCTGTTCATGAACTTTATGTTTAAGGAACAATTTCCATGGCATTCTGCCACAAAGAGGCAGCATTCACCCATGAGTAAATTGACAGTCGTTACATGAATTCAGATTGAACAGGTAGCAACAGTTTCCCTGAGGATTAAAAAAGAAAGAAAAATAAAAAGATAAAAATTAAAAAAGGAATGCTACATTGACCAAGTGGAGTAGGCTGTCCATATTCTTTGCAGCATTTTCCCTTCCAATTTTTTTTTTCAAAGGGGAAAGGAATAAGCTTAATAATGCCATGATATTATCTTGAAAAAAGTGTATCTCTTGCTCTTCATCTACCTCCTCTATATGAGATCCAGGATTAAAAAAGAAAAAATAAATACTAGCATTTGACTTCACAATTGGGATTGTTATTATTCTTCACAATGGCTGGTTTTTTTCTTTCTTTTAAAATGTCAATATCACTTCCTCAACCTTATTATATATGGATGTGACAGTTTTACAAATTAAAAAATATTAATGTAAAGTAGAATACTCCATGTGACTAAGTTTTATTTCTTAATTGATGAATAAAACAGTAAGATAACAATTACATGAAATTAAATACTTAGTTCTGGGTAACATAAGTAACTTCCAAAGAAAGTTTAGTATTGTATTGTTCAAAGATTTACAGAGCATTTAATTTTTTTTCAAACCAGCAGTAGGTGGAACCCTGCAAATCCTCTCCACAGAATTTTGGGGAACAACAATATGTAATATTTCAGGCATCAATTAAAATTTGGATGCAAACTAAGCTTACTCTTTGTGCTTATTCTATTTAGTATGTTGCATAATCTCATGTAAATATATTTCCACGTAGATTTACAAAATATTATTTTTATCTCTATGATTATAATGTAAATACTTAAATTATCGCAGATAAATATATTCCATGTAAATGTAGTTAATTTGTATGCTAATACACAAAATCATTTACAGCTAACCTATTGATTGAAGTTATTAGTTAAACAGTCTTAGCATACAACATCATACTTGGAACAAATTTTTTGTTTAGGCAAGATTATCATCTTTAAAAATGTAAAGTAAAAAATTTTGATAAATGTCCTGGGTATACAAGTCTGTCCCTTACCACTGTGTCTCAACACTAATAAGAAAATCAAAATAGTGTATAATGAGAACACCTACAGGTAATATAGAAAAGGTTGCAATTTAAGAATTCAGTCTAAGATTGCAGTTTCTTGCCTTATACATTAACTGTATTCTTGTTACTACCTTGTATTGTTGGCAAAATATTCAAATTAATATGTACTATTATCTTTTTTTACTCTATCATTTCTAACTCTCTTTTTCTTTTCTTGTATCTCCTTGTTTCCTCTTTTTTTTTCATTTTTATATTTTTCTTCATTATTTTTAGTAGGGTAAGAGAAAGAGTGAGAATAGCTGAGTATTCATTTCAAATGCTAAAAACTGGCTATGTAATTTCAAGAGCTCCAAATTTGGTACCCAAAGTCACAGAACTCCAAACTAATGGGGAAAAAAAAGGCAGATCACAAATATGCTGTCTACTCACTTGAAAACACACTTGTCTTGCACTTCAGATGTCTACAAGTTAAGATATTTGCAGACATGGAAAAAAAATGTTTGGTATGACTATTTTGAAGAATAAATTTTACACTAAGAAAAAGAAACTAGAAACAACAAAGGAACAGATTTAAACACTAGAAACCAACGTTAAAATTAATTAACAAAGATAAATTGGGTTTCAAAGGGAATAAAATGTTGTCAAAGTAGTAATTAAACTGATATCAAGGTAACTATTGTATTTATGGCTAATGTTCCTCAAATTCTTTGAAGTTCTCCACTATTTGCAATTATAAATATATGACAAAATTAAAGTAGTTGAGTAGACATTAGTTATGTGACTAAAAATAATGATCTAACATCTACATTCAAATAAACCTTATATTCATTGATATTGCATATAACAGCTGTAAATTTTTATTAATTTCAAATTAATATAATTCTTTTCTATGCTATCTACATATATTTTCATGAGTATATGTAACATGTATGTGACATACAAAAACGGGTTATCAAAGAGTCATCGCGTACACAATTTGTATCCAAGGTTCTTTATATTTCAATGTGTTTAAGATTTTCAAATTATATTTTCATTTCTATGTCTTAGGAATAAAAAGGAATTTGATGCAGTATCATATTTGAGTGTATAATATAATATTTGCTTTTCTGTTTAGAGCAAACCATTTGACTTACAAGACATTGATCAAATATTTCTTATGACAATTTTACTAATATTATAAAATGATAAATTTTGTACTCATTTTTAAAAGAACAATAATTAACTCTAAGTTTGAATGATTTAAATTTTTTTAATTTTTGAAGATTAAAATGCAAATACTTTATATGGAGCTGGTGAAATGCAAATATGAAATAATTTGACCTTATATTCTATTTAATTTCAAAATAAGAAAAATGATATATTGCATAATAGTAAGTATGTCAGATACATTTTTATTAGCTATTAGGAAAGTCATTTTAAAAAGACTAAGTAATATTCAGAGATATGTTGGATAGAAATCTTACGAGATTTTTAAATTAAGTATCTTTATTAGTAATCATGAAGGAATATTGTATATTTCTACTATGAAATAAACATGTATATTCTTAAAAGTATAAATGTCTCTAAAAGTGGAAATTATGAACAAGTGTTTTGAAAGATGAGTTTTTTGTTGTAGTTGTTGTTTGACATTTAACATATGTATAGATAGATCTGTGGTTTTATCTTGAAAGCTCATTAATACCTTGGTCTAGATTGGACAAACTTATTTATAGATCATATAGTTTAAGAGATTTTCAACACATAACCTAAAAATTCAATTATATTTTCTTGTTATAAGTCAATATTGAATCATATTTATATTTATATATAGTTATGCAAGTAGCAAAATTCTGTTACTTTTTAGAGTCTGAAATATGCATATTTTAGATTTTTTTACTCACAATTTCATTTCTACCATCAGTGATGACTTTTAACATTCCCAAATAACATAATTGTTAAGAATCTTATTGTATATTTTGTTAAAAACAAAACTTAATATTAGTGAAACAAAAATTGCTGTATATTTTCAGTTTGAGGCGTGCTTATTTAAATAAAATATGAAAGGTGGCAACAGCAAAATTATTTTCATATGCTGTAATACATTGACCAGCATGTTTTCTACATGAGCAGTTCTTCAAGGTCATGCAGATTAAGATTTTAAATGCTAAATGTAAAATTGATATATAAAGTAAATTATTGACCAATAAATATATCCCACCTGTAATGATATATTTATAAAATATATCCACACCAAAAATCATGT